CCCCCCAGCACCCGGCCCTCTGCGGCAAGAGCACTCACAGTCCCCCAGGGTGTTGGTTTTGGGGTCACCCTTCACGTACGTCACATACTGCGCGCTCGCCATGGCACTGCGGGGATAGGGTGCACGTGTGTGGCTCCATGATGTGCATGTGCGCCTCTGCGAGGCATCATAGACACATGCGACGCGTCTCGTGTGCAGTGACATCCATTCGCATTGGGTGAGGTGGGTTGCCATGCCATTCGCGTCGCTGCCGTATGCCAGGTGCCCGTTCATAGCTCATTGGCACGCACAACAGCTTTTGAGAGCGCGCAGGTCCTTTCGCATGCGTGCTCTGCGTCATGGAGGATGCCTCCTGGGCGCGCGACCTGCAGCGCCCGCGCACACTCATGCTCTGCGGTCACGGTGCGTCGCTTGCGGCCAAACACGCACCTCACAACACGGGCTCGCGGAGCAGCACGGAAAATGAAGGGCTTGACAGAAGCGACGCCGAGCGCACGAGGTGTGGACGCGAGCATACTGATGAGAGTTCCGCAATCACCGATCTCTCGAGGCGTCCTTCAACAAGTATCTAAGCCGTTTTAACATGTGAGGCTACCATGTATATTGATTGAACCTGGGCAGTCAGGGGTGTGCAGCTGCTGCCGCCTCATGATGCCACACCTGCATGGGCTGTAGGGGGCGTGCCAGGCTCCAGGGGCGTGCCCTGGGCCTGCCAGGCCAGGCTGGACTGGGCGGCTTGAGAAAAGTTTGCAGATACGACGGGGCGCCGACACGCCAATGCATGGTCATCAACACTTTATTACGAATTCTGCAGGCTAGCCCAGGCAGCACAGCTGGCACGACACTGACGGATGACGAGCTTGCACTTGCTACCTCTTCACTGCAACGACAGAGCAACGCCTGTGTCCCTGTGATGGATCACAGATCGGCTTTACACAAGCGCCATGTTGCAACAACGGCATGGCCGATAAATGCATTATGCAGACCACAATGCCGGGACCTGCGTGCGAATTCGCACGCAACGACCAGCCGCATGCCCACAGCCGGGCCCTGCATGCCCGCGCATTGGCGCCGGGCGTGCAGAAGAGCCCAGGAAAACGGCTGCCAGCCAAAAAACAACAGCTGCAGGAGTGCTTGAATCAGCTTTGGTAATAGCTGTTAGGCAGGCCCAAGAACCACTTCCAGCGCTCCAGCCCCCTGTTGACGCCCTCCCCAGCCCCCCCGGCCGCGCCCCCGCCGGCACCCACCATGCCGGCGGGCCCGTCGCCGCGCCGCTGCCGCCGCGCGGCAAGCTGCGTCTGGCGCCGCTCGAGCCAGGCCTGGTAACCGGCCTCCGACGCGTCATCCTCCAGCACCCCAGTCAGCCGCATGACGCGCACCACCTGGCGCGCCGCGCGGACGTCGTCGTCCGCCAGGCAGAGCTCGATGACGTCATCGCACATGTGGCGCGTGGGGCGGCCGCCCAGCTGCAAGAACCGCCGCAGCACGCGCTGGGCCGCGGCGGTCCCGCCCGGCACACCGGCGCCCCCGCCGCCGCCGAAGCAGCGGTCGCGTTCTCGGTCGCGGGCGCGGCGGCTGCGGCGCAGGGCCTTGATGAGCGCCCCAAACGCCTCGGCCGGCGGCGCGCGCCGCGCGGACGCCGCTGCCTCCACCGCGCCCTCCAGGGCCGCCTCCGCCTCCTGCAGGCGCCCCGCCTCTGCCAGCATGTCCACCAGGGCGCTCCACGCGGCGGCGTCGGGGCCGCCGACGCGCGCGCCCGGGGCGCCGGGGCGCCACCGCGACAGGATGCGGCTGAGCGCTTCGGGCGAGCCGACTAGGCTGCCGATGCGCCCCGCGGGCTTTGCACCGCTGCCAAGCCCATTGCTGCTGCCTTGATTTGAGCCGTCCAGGGGCGGAGAGAGCGAGGGCGGACCCGCTGCTGATGACGCAGACGCCTGGTCGGGCGCGCCAACCACTCTACTGCTGCTGCTGCTGCTGCTGGCACCGCTGCCACGTGCACTCTCGCCGCCGGGCCCCCTCAGGCGCCGCCGGGCGCCGCCAGGGTCCGGCCCCAGCTTTGCGCCCCCACGCTGGCTGCCACTGCCGCTGCTCTCGCCACTACTGTTCAAGACGGCGGCCCCAGCGGCTGGCCGCAGGGCGTCCGCCTCTGGCAGCCCGGCCAGCAGTGCGTCAAACACGTCGAGCGCGCCCTCCACGTCGCCAGCGCCGCCCAGCGCAACCATGAGGCTCGTGAGCGTGGCGCCATCGGCGCCCGGGCCCGAGGGCCCCTGCAGCTGCTCCAGCAGCAGAGCTGCACTTGCAAAGTCCCCGCGCTGCACGGCGAACGGCAACGCGCAAGGGGATTGAGTGACGCAAACAGCAGGGGGAGCAGGAGGTTGGCAGGGGAACAGCTGGATCCACGCCGACCTGTCGCATGACGTCATTGCGATGCCGTCACCACGCCGTCAACCGCTCCCCGCCCCTTGTGTTGCTGCCGGCATGGTCAGCAACCAGCCGCCAAACCCCCAGACAGCAGACATCACCGACAACATGCATGACAGCGAGCAACCACTACTCAAACCACAACGGTGGTCCACCCACCCGCAGCATGCCGTCCAGCAGCAGTGAGTAGGTGTCAGTGCCCGCATCCAAGCCCTGACCCGCCATGCGCCGCAGCACCTCCTCAACACTCCACACGCCCGGCAGCTGCTGCTGGCCAACGGCAGGGGCCCCGCCAGGCGCCCCTCTGGCCGCGGTCCCAAAGGCATCGCCGTCCACGCCCGCATTGCCGGCAAAATTGGACGCCGCCGTGCCTGCTGGCTCGCCACCGTCGCCGCTCTCGCGCAAGCCCCACCAATCGTCGGGGCTGCTGCCGATGCTGCTGATTCCGGTGAAGCCACTTACGCTGCTGGCATCCAAGCCGCCTGCCTGTTGCTGCTGTTGCTGCTGCTGTTCCGCCGCCAAACTCGCAGGAGGCTGTGTCCATTGCGGCCGGTTCACCAGGCCACGGGGCCTGGGCGCCGCTGCTGCTGCTTGCTGTGAGGGCGTGTCATGCTCCCTCTGTCGCTGCTGCTGCTGCTGTTGCTGCTGCTGCTGCTGCTCCTGCTGCTGCTGCTGGTCCTGCGAACGCGCAGGACGCACCGCTGCGCGTGCGTCAGCCGCGTCAGCCGTGGGCTGGGGCGCTGGCGGAGCGCCTGCCTGCCTGTCCGCGCTGCCAGCGACCACGCTGGTGTCGGCATAGCCCAAGCCCTCGCCACCCCACTCCTCAGCCACAATGCCGCGCAGCAATGTATTGTACATGATGCGTGTGGGGGCCGGCAGGTCTGTGGTGGGCGCCGTCGCCGCCCCCACACCGCGCGCCTCCCCTTGCTGCCCCTCCCCTTCCCGCCGCGGCCCCGCCCCGCCGCCCGCCGCCCCCGCGCGCCGCCACAGCGCCTGCCGCCGCCGCCACGCCGCGACGCCGCCCTCCAGGCGCCCCACCAGCGCGCAGGCGCCCGCCAGGTCACCCGCGCGCACGTGGGCGTCCACCAGCACCCCATAGGTCACTGCAGTCGGCGCCACCCCCGCCGCCAGCATCTCCTGCAGGACGCCGCCCGCAGCCGCGAGCTCTCCCGCCGTGGCGTGCGCCCGCATCACGGCCGTCAGCCCGTACGCGTCGGGCGGGACGCCCTCGCGGCGCGCGTGCTCCAGCACCGCGCGCGCACGGGGCGCGCCCTCGCCGGCCGCAGCGAGCGCCGCGGCCAGGGTGTTGTAGGTGACCGCGTCGGGCGGCACGCCCCGCGCGCGCATGGCCGCAAACAGCCGCCGCGCGCCGGCCGCGTCGCCGGCGCGCGCGGCGGCGCGCAGCAGCACATTGTGCGCCGCGACGACGTGAGAGCCGCCGGCGGCACCTGCGGCTGCGCAGAGCGGCGGCAGTAGCGCCTCCGCCTCCTGCGGCCGGCCGGCGCAGGCGCAGGCGCTGATTCCCGCCAGGTAGGCGCCCGAGTCCAGGGCCTGCCCGCTGGCGGCCAGCTGCAGCCACGCCTGGTAGGCCAGCGCCGCCAGCGGCAGCCCGCGCCGCCGCCGGCAGCGCAGCAGGGCGGTGATCGCGGTGGTGTGGACACGGGGCGAGGCCGGGCCGTACACGCGCTGCACCTCGCGGAACAGCCACAGCAGCTGCTCCGCCTCACCAGCCTGCGGCGGCAGACGGTGGGGGGGACAGTGCGCAGGAGAGGAAAGTTGTGTGAGGCCAAGGTATACTTTGCCACGGGGGCAAAAGTCCTAGCGCATGCAGGCGGAGCCTGTAAGCATGCGATGCATGCCAACAGGTGTGCATGCATGCATGCATGCATGCGTGCACGCGCGCCTGCATGCGCGCATGCCTGCATGCGTGCATGCCTGGGAGACTGGCCGTGAGGGCTCAGCACACTGCCTGAACAACGTGTCCCCATGGGCCACTGCTGACGCCACCATGCAACCGCCCGCACCTTGCCCGCGGCCACGATGAGCACGTGATACAGACCACGCGGCAGCCAGAACCCGGCCTCATGCGCGCGCCGCGCCAGCCGCCACGCCGCGGCGAACGCGTCTGCGTCGCAGAGCGCTGCGGAGGAGCGGAGGAGCGGGATGGCCCAACGGCAGGGCATGGGGCGGGTTCAGTGCGGGTTCAGGCGATGTGTGGCCATAACAACGTGCGCCGCGTGCACCCAGGCCGCCCCGTCCCAGCCGCATGAGACCACTTTGTTCAGGCCGGTCGGCAGGGAAAACCGGCTGCACTCCACCACCAGCGTTCAGCGCACCCTCTGCTGCCCACACGGCGGAACGCACCTTCCAGCAGCTGCGACGTCTCGCGCCACGGCGGCCGCTTGCCCAGTGCGAGCACGCCCTCTACGCAGGCCGCGGCCCCCGACAGGTCCCCTGACGCCAGCAGCGCCTGCATCTGGGGGCGGCGCGACTCAACCGGCCGGTGCGAGCCCCTGTCCCGTTCCTGGGGCCCTGACGCCGCTGCACTCGCCGTCACCGCGTTTGTCGCGCCGTTTGCCCCACTGCCGTTGCCGCCGCTGTCGGCTCTGGCGCTGTTGCGGGTGCGCCGCTGCTGCGCCGCCGAGTTCGGCTTCCAGAGGGAGGGGGGCGGGGCCCTGCCATTCAACCTTCTGCCACTGCTGCTGCTCCCGTCACTGCCTCCACCAAACCCGTTGCTGCTGCTGCGTCCGCTCGTGCTGCTGCTGGTGCTGCCATCCCTGTCAGGACGGCGCGGCAGTGGCACGGCCGTCACTGGACGACCGCCCGCTGGCTCGGCCGCGCCATCGCTGCTGCTGCTGCTGCTGCTGTTGTCAAGCTGGATAGCTCCACTGGTCTCACCGCTGCTGCTGGCGCTGACACTACTTCTAGCGCTGCTGCCGTTGGCAGGGGCCGCGGCCGCTGGTGCGGCTGCCAGCCCCGGGGAGCTGCTGATCCATGCAGCGTCCAGGCCGGCGCCGTTGAGGCCAGGCGGCGGTGTCCGTGGGACGCCATTGCTGGCCGGGCCACCGCCAAGACCGTCAGCTCCGGCCACGCCGCCATGTGTGCCGCCCGCACCATTGAATGTGGGCCGCGGGCGCGCGCTCACCGCAGCTGCAGCGGTAGCAGCGCTTCCACTCGCAGTGCCCAGCCGCGGCTGCGCACAGGACACCGCACAGCTGCGTCCGGGCCTGCCCGCTGAAAGCCTTCGTGCTGAAGTTGATTCCAAATATGGAGGGTGGGAGCAGGGCCAGGCCGCTGCAGCTCTCTGCATTGCCTCCGTCCCTGAGCCTCCCAGGCAGGCGTCAACGCTTCCACATCATAATCAAAAATTATGATGTGTCTAAATTCGATCTATAACCGCGATTCCCCCGTGGGACGAGGTGATCGCTGAGTGAGCGGCGCCTTTCGAGACGTCAATGCACTATAAGTACTGTTGCTGGGTTGTGACCGATGTTCGTGCTCGAAGGTCCGTCCTTTGAAGGGTGGACGACCTGAACGCGATGCCAGTGCACTAACTAGTGTGGCACGACCACGAGGACATCATCGATTTGCTGTGGCATAAAACGCGACGTAATCTCCATGTTAGCCTTTGTTTATTTTTTGGCGCCACAACAGAGCTCAGACGCAGCCCGCCTTCCGAACCAAGAGCGGGTTCGACACTGTGCAACCTCGCACCACCGTACCAGCCACATGAGTTCCTCAGCTGTCAGCCCCATGCCACCCAAGTGTCGAAACACGCTCTCTGTTGCGTTACACTACTCTGTTAATCTGCCAGCAAACAGAAACTTCCTGCAGAATGGCAGGCTCTCACTGTGAATCAAGTCCCCGCTGGCACAGCACCAAAAGCTTTGACCACGGTCAACACACACTCGTACACTGGTCCTCACAACCCCCCTCACTCCCCAAGAACCCTAAGGTGTCTCAAGCAGGCCGCTGCACCGCCCCTTCACTCGCCCACGCCGAACACAGCCTGGTCCCCCAGCTCCTGCCCCGCCAGGCCCTCGGTCACGGCCTTCTTGAAGAAGCCCTCCAGGGTGTCCACCCCGTACTCGGGGGTGGCGTCAGCGTCGTACGCGCCGCGCGCCTCGTCCCACACCAGCATCGACTCGGTGGCGTAGTACCGCCCGATGCGGCCGAACTCGGCGGCGTCCTGCGAGGGATGGGTGGCCGGGGAGTGGGGATGGTTGGCAAGGGGGGGCTGGTAGTGGCAGTAGGTGTAGGTGAGCGCCGGAGGGGGGGAAGCGAACGGCCCCAATGATGTGCATGACATCGTACGCGCGCTGCCGCACTTCCCTGTTCAAGCACATGGCATCCGACAGCCGTCACTCTGACTTTGCAAACGGTATCTGCCGGAGAGAGGCACACCCAGACGCCAGCTCGAGCTGTGACCATCCTGGTGATCCGCACCGCGACAACACCCCGGAGCACGCACACCCCCTTGATACAGCGGCCACCAGCTCCCTGGCCCCGTAGCCCCCCTCCCCGCGCAGCGCACCTCCATCTGGGGGAAGGCCTTGGCCAGCAGGTCCAGCACCCCAATGATGCCGTCAAACAGCCACACGGGGGCGGAGATGTACTTCTCGGGCATGTTGGTCAGGCGGAACAGGATCTGGGCCTGCTGCTTGGCGGTCAGCGCGCCACCAGGGCCGCCGATGGGCAGCAGCTGGTTGTGCTTGGACGGGTCTGTGGGCGGGGTTTGCGGGGTGGGCACAGACATGTGGTGGGACGTGTCGGTGAAGGCCTGGTGTGGGTACAACAATTTGGGGGCAGCGTTTTCGGAATGGACGCACGTGATTGCTTCAGGGTTGATCGTCAGGGCGTCTGTTCTGGCCCGGGCTTTGCGGCAGGTTCCAGCAGCGCTAGCCAAACCCTTGCACCCGCCCATAGCGATAGGTCCTGCTCAGCTGCCGCAAAACAGTGAGTCCGACATGCAGGTGTCCTCTGCATCATCTGACCCCAACAACCCGCCTGTCACCAGGCCTCCTGGCTGCCCCCCCCCCCCTTGCCCGCTCACCCGAGATGCAGTCCGCCATGAAGCGCGCCAGGTCAGCCTCGCTGATGGGCTTGCAGGCCGCCAGGTTGCCGTCGCCAAACATGACGTAAGGCTTGCCCTGCTGCACCAGCTTAACCTGCACGCGCACAGACAGGGGCCGGCGGGGACGACGCAGCAAATTGAGGCAGGTGGCGAGACGCAGTGCGCGGCAGGTGTGCGGATGTTTTTAGGGGAGCAACACCTGTGCAAAGTGGCGGGACGCCCTGCACAGGTTGGCGCCGCCGACATCCTGGCACTCCTCATGCAGGCACTCTGATGCTTTCTGTGTAGTGTGCTCGCACTTTAATCACAACAGGACTTCTGCCTCCACTTGTGTCCGCCTCCCCTGGAATAAACTCAACCCTGGCAGCCTCTCAAGGGCCCCACCTGCCCCGCCAGCGACTTGAAGAATGCAGTTGGCCGCACGATCGAGTAGGTGATGTCACCCGCCGCCGCCAGCTCAGCCTCCAGCTTCAGCTTGGCCTTCTGGAACTCCAGCAGCGGCCGCTGGACGCAGATCGCGGACAGCAGCACAAAGTGCTTGGCTCCCGCCTTGCGCGCCGCGTCCAGGACGTTCTTAGTGGCCTGGTAGTCGATGTCCCAGCTGTCCTTCTTGCCGCCTTGGTTTGAGTTGTGTGTGAGTGTTTGGTAGGGGGGAGAGGGGGGTGGTGGGAGGCGCGGTGCAGGGAGCAAGCGCTCGGATGGCGTCCAGCTGATGTGGAGACCTTCTGCTTCACCAAAGATGATGGCCGCAGCATCCGGACCCGTCTGTGTTGGATGATTCCGCAGACAGCCTCCCAGCGTTTTGGAACAGCACAGCTTGTTGAGCACACGCAGCTACTAAGTGCCACGAGCCAGCCTCCCATCAACTGCGCTGGGCCGCCCCAACAGCCGCCTGTTCAGCACAGACACACGCCCTGCCAGCACCGCACGCCGCCGCGCAGCGCAGCGCAGAGAATCACAGCGTGCGCACCCGTCCGGCTGGCGAGGCAGCACACGACGACGTCCGCGGGCTGGTCAAACGCCGCCCCGCTGATGCTGGCCACGTCGGTGACGTCACCAAACACCACGCGCGCGCCGCTGAACTCCTTCTGCGTGTCCTCCTTGCTCATCTTGCCCTTGATGCCCGCCTTCTCGCGGGCCAGGGCGGTCACCTGCCCCATGGTTGGCCGTGCGATGCCCAGTCGCAACCGGGGTTGCCTGGTTACGCTGGCCGCACCTGATATGCGGGTGCCGGCACAGCCCAAGGCTGACCGAGCTGACTGCTTGCCGGCGCGTCCACCCTTGGGGGACTGGGCGCACACTGCTGCACCGCTGCAACATGGCCTGCCCTGGCACTCTACACCCATACGCCAGACTGGCCTCTTGGGCGCTGTCACAGGGCCCCACCTGCTTCAGCTGCGCTGTAGTTGCACCACTTGCCTCTTCAACCACTCGCCAGCATGCCACCGCCGCCCCGCCCCATGCCTGCCATACGCATGCGCATGCACCCTCTGCAAGCCACCCGGCGGTTCCTCCCACCTGGTAACCGCGGTCAATCAGCTCCTTCGTCACGAACTTCCCGATGTAGCCAGTGGGGCCGGCCACCACAACGCGCACATCCTTGGGCGCGCGGCTCGCGATCTCCGCAGACGCGGCAGACGCAGCATTCGCAGCCTGTGCCGCGGGCGCGACTGCGCGCCGGCGCCCCGCGCGCTGCGTGCGGGCAGCACAGGGTGCGCTCCGCTGCTGCTGAGGCTGCTGCGTGCGCTGCTGAGGGGCCGCGCGAGGCGTGGACTGCGGTTGGGCGTGGCCAGGTGTTGAGTCAAGCGGCGGCGCGCTGGTGGGCGAGGCGAGTTGAAGACACCGCACAGCTTGTCCAGTTGGACGCAGATGAGCCATGCTGCAATCCAAGACTTGTGTTTCAAAGCGTGCAACGCGCATACGCAGCACCCAATCCAAGGCGAGCACAGTGTGCAGCAAGTGCGAGGCACCGCTGCTCACCAGGCTCGGCCTGCCGCTGAAGGGAGCAGGCGTGCTCTTCGAAACAAAGGCATTTGATCGCTGCGAAGCCGCCCGCGAGGCCATGCTGTGGGCCATCATTGTGCCGACCGCTCTCAAAGATCCCAGTGAGTGAGATCCTTGCAGCTTCACACGTCGCAGACGATTAAGGTCACGGTTCAGAACCGTGTGGTTCCCCCCACTGGATGATGCCTGGCGCCAGACTCATGCGAACCAGGTATTGACTCCTACGCTCCCGTTCTGGACGAGCCACTCTGCGCCCATTTATGCCGCCCGATTTCGCCACGTCCGTATTGTTGTATTTGTGTACATACTGTAGATATCCTGTATCCCTTACGTCCTATAGCCGCGACAAAACCGCTCCAAAAGGAGGTACGCACCTGGTGCTCAGCGGGGGAGGAGGCGTACGTGTGTGGAACCACAATATCTTTGACGTCGCAGAATTCTCTATGAGTGATTTGTTGCACTCGCAGCGGCGCAGCCCCCCTGACGCCGTACCCTGCCGCTGCCGCTCCACCACCGGCGCAGCCCGCCCGACCCCTGCCCCCGAAGGCTTTTACGAACGATCGCCACCATGGCCCGCACTGCCATGGCTGCGGCCGCGCTGTTGCTGTTTGTGGGCGCGGCGATGGCGGCGATAGACTGCAGCAGCGTCGCTGGCTGCACGGCCTGCACCTACTCCACCAGCGAGAAGAAGGGGCTCAAGCTCATGTGCACCGCCTGCGCGGACGGGGCATACGTGCTCAAGGGAAAGAAGGGCCGTTGCGGTGCGCGGCAATTGTGCAGAGGGTTGCAATAGGGGCACGGGAAGTGTCCCTGCAGCATGCTCATCTGGGGCTAGGCAGGGAAGCTGCCGCTCGGTGCAGGCGCAGCTGCGGTGGGGGGGGGGGTCCATGCCGCACCAGCCCACCACAAACCACCTTGATATTTCGAAGCCAGGCCTGCGCGTTGTGCAATTCGCGCTATTTACGCACTTGCTTGCATAGGCTCCGTCCCCGGCCACCAACGCGGGCATATATACCGCATACACGTGACGTGCGCATTGCCTCATGCACACTGTGTCGTAGATTGCGCTCAGGGACACTTCAGCCGCTTTGCCAACGGCACGCAGCTGGGACACTGCAGGCCCGTGCTGAAGAACCACGTGGCAGACACTGGCAAGATCAACAACAACGACAACATCATGTGAGTGACATGACACTGGCTGCTGAACGGCCTCGGCTGAGGAGCACATGGTCTGACCTTATTTTGGAGGGCGATTTAATCGCATTGACTCATCATCAACCTCAGCAGTGGACTTGAAACCAGTGCGCCGATAGAGAGCTTGATTCAGCTCCTGCACGGCCGGTGCGACATCCCAGTGTAGAGGCAACTAGCTGGGAGTGGTTTGCGTAACCGC